TTGCGCTGAAGGGATTCCGTTAAAGGAATCCTGGGGCTTGCCACGATTTCGTCCAATCCCTGTCATGGGACCAGGGCCGCCCAATCCCGGTCATGGGAATCCCTGTCTGGGGACCTGGGCCGGCAAGCTTCGGGAGCTGCTGGGGTGAGCGGCGTGGGTCCGACGCTTAGCTCAAATGACCCCCAAGTTTGACTTTCCCTTCTACTGGCTACCGATCGGACCTCGGGATGTCAGTTCTGTCCCAGGCGGGGGGACAGATAGTCATAACCAATGTCTAAACAACCACTCACTGATTTTGTATTTTAATAAAGTTGTGGCCAAAATAGTGCCCAAAAACCAAAACTAAAATTACGTGTTACGTGTGAAGTTATTTGAGGGGTGGCCTGGGGACCTACACACGCAAATAGCATGTATTTGTATGATTTCATTATTATGCAAAAAATGCACTTATTCTGGTTTCACCACTGGTGGGAAAAGAGCAAACCTACTCCCAAAGACTGAAAACTTTCTTCAGCCAGCTCTCTTGCCCGCCATTGTCCACAAAGGAACAAATGATGCAACATTCAAAAAGCAAAAATAACGAAAGATCTAATGAGGCTGAGATTTTGAAGCAAGAAGCACTGCCAGGGAGGACCTGCTTCCCTTTTTCCCCGCTCGAATTTGTGGCATTCCAGATGCATATTTCAAATGTCCTTGCCCCTCACTTTCAGGTGTAATTTTGTAGCTATAAGGAATAGAATCTTGCTTTTAAATATATTTTTTAAATGAATTCTGAGGGTTTCACAGAATGGCTTCCGTGTTTACTACCACTCTCTGAGCTTTTCTTCCATCCCACAGAATCACTACACATTATCTCACTCTTGCCCATTGCAGTGCTACACTAGACCTTCTTCCCTTAACTGCAGTGCTACACTGAAGTCACATGCCATACCGGCAAAGTCTAGCAGTACTCTATGACTCAAGATGCCACTGGAATAGTGGGCAGCAAACAGTCCAGCCATTTGATTGGACAAGACCTGTGGCAAGAGGAGAACGGGTGAAACTACCCAAAGGATGAGCATGCTCTTACTTGTGCAGGAAACAGCTGCTATTTAGGCTACTTGAATGCTTGCTGGTGCCACTGTCTCACGCGTCCTGATGACTAACTTCTCCAAGCATTTCATGACTTACCTTTGTTAACAAGGGTAGCTCAGCTGAAATGAAATGTTGCTGCCATTCATGATTTGGCACATTTTGTACGTTACCATACAAATGTTGACAGCGGAATGCTGAAATTCAGGCTCCTTTTCAAATTCAGGTTCTTTTCTGTAGACAGCAGGATGTTTATGGGGAAAGGTAGAGTTGCTTCCCCCCCCTTTTTTTTGCAGAGCTTCTTGGTTTCTTTGGGTTTTTTCCCTAGCAGGTGCATGGCAACTAGAAATTCAGCAGGTAAATTCACAAAGTCTTCGCCGGTTGAACTTCTGCTTCTTGCATACTGTTAAAAACATAGGAGCTCTCAGCTTGAAATTTCAGGGCTCATTGAAGGAGAGAGATTTCTAGGAACAGGGATGGGGGAACCTGTGGCCCTCCCTATGTTGTTGGATTCCAACTCCCATCAGCCGCAGACAGTGTGGCCAATGAAGAGATTTGTGGAAGATTATTTGTCCAACAATATCTGGAGTGCTACAGATTCCCCATGTCTGCTCTAGGACAATCTAAATGAGCTGGTCACATATTCTTCTAATGTTGAGGTCCTGAGTTATGATTTGAGGGAAGGAATCTTCTATGAAGCTCTGTATGAAACACAAGGAACACTTGCAAGTTAAGAGATACTTCCTTGCAATGGGCCAGAGGATCAGTGTCAAATTATTCTAAGACTGAAATACTATTGTTTCCCCATCCCATCTCCTCTCTTTTTTTAAAAGCATTGGCTTAAGCTATTTGGAGAGTGAGTTGTAAGGATAGAAAGAAATGTGGTGGCTGGTTGTATATCAATTTCAGCCTGAGAGGCAGCCGGAGTGGGGATAATTTTGTTTGCCTTATGAAAAAGAATAAATATTCAAGAAACAGTTTATAGTTTTCTTTTTTTAAGTATGAATATTTATATGGATACCTGACAATATAAATTTATCTTTCTTGTGTTGAAATCAATTATGTGCAGTTTTTTACAGGCAGAGTGACCCAGTGGAAGACAGCCAAATTAAGAGGGATTTCACAAAGTGTTCACGTCCATTCCTTCTTGCAACATTTCCAGAACTCCAGTCAGGCTACCACCTGGTTGGCTTTCCCACCATCTGGGAACTTTTGTTCCAATTCAGCTTCACTACCATGCAACCAGCAACTTTAAAATGTGAGCACAGGGCATATCAAACCATTTTGGTTTGTCTTATCCTCATTTTCTGATCTTGGTGTTCCTTTGCCATTCTGACACCCCTCTCCCTGCTTTTCTGATCCCGTGTGTTTCCTTTGGGCTCTGGGGACTTTGGAGAGCTTGCCTTCCTGGCTTGCTAACTCTGGCAGATTAGCTCCCACAGCTGCCCTTGCTATCTGCTGTGATGGGTCTGCCTAGCGTTGCTTGGCTGTCTTTTCTAAGATCCACATGCTGTCTAACTGAATCATTAGAATCAAATCTTTATCGAAAAATATACTTCCAAGTTGCAGCATAAATACTTTCCCTTTGTGTTTAAATCTGCTGTTGAAGGATGAGATGAGCCAGTTGTGCCTTCATCCGGTTTCCCCCATGGACTTTCTGCACTCACCTGTGAGTGGCAAACCTAGAGTCCTACTGCAGGCAATTGGGCCCCTGCACCAAGTACCAGCCTTGCGCATTAATATGAGTGGCAGAGGGGAGGGATACACTCCCCCCACTCTCCCCCCCTCCATATAAAGAGGATCACTGACCCAGCAAGTGTATGAACTGGGCCTGAGTGGTGTAAGGATTGTGACCATGATGCAAAAATTATACTCTTATTGATTTCCTTTTACTAAAAATAATAGCCCACTTGCTCAGCAGATTGTGAAATGATATTTTTCTTCACCAGAGTTGCTACTCTCGGCACTATACGAGGGTCTTGCTCAGCACTTTCAACATAATGTGGAATACTGTAGAGCCAATTTTATTTTCATTTGTGTCCCAGTGTTAAAACTGAGAGAGCCATCATCCACTAATAGCACAGCAGGCAAGTCTAAGTGTTTTTTAGCTCAAAATATGGCAATCTATCAAAGAGGAGCAACAATAAAGGACTAATGAGTGGAATAAAACCAGATAGTTAAAAATGATGTGAGGTGCAGTCTTAATTTTTTATTATTAAATTCACAGGACATTAAATATTAAGACTTCATAAACTTTGTTTTGTGCAATGATAAATTAATAATATCTACATAGACATGTTCTTTTCTAACAGGGATGTCGGGAAACATGGTACCCCAAGGGCTGTCATGTTTAAAAACTGTAGTTATCCAAAGTTAGTCCCTAATCTTCAGTCATAAAAAAGGTAGATAATGTTATTTCTTATTGCTTTTGAATGAAAGTATCTTGCAGGATACCACACGCATAATTACTGAACACAAGTACTAGGGAATATGTAGAACTGCTTAGAAATAGATGTTGCCAATTTAACATACAGTGATAAATCCACTGAAAGATTCTCAGGTGCATTTTTGCCAGCATTAAAATTAATGTCTAGCTATTCTGTCAGTGGTTTCCGTAACTTGAGGTTCCTGTCCAAGTATAATAAACTTAAAATAGATGTACTTCTAGTCTGTGACTAGTCAAAAAATGATCTCTGACAAAGGATACTTGAAGTTCTCTTCTGTGTACTGAAGTAAGGTGACATTTTCTCCTCTGTGGAAGGCAGGCCTGGGTTCTAAGTTCCTTCTGCTTTCACCATACCTCACCCACAAAGTCGCTGAGTAAAACAGAATGACTCCTTATCCTATAAAATAAACACAACTTATCAGGGTCAGCCCAAGACTTTTTGCTGCCTGAGGTGGAGCAGGAATGATGTGGGCCCTTTCCCCCAAGTCAAGGTCCATAGTGCTTAAGACCCCACCAAGTTATTTTAGTGCCTGAGACAGAAAACTGGCAGTAAAAACACACTGCGATGCAAATAAATCACAATTTGTTGTCCTTTCATGACACCCAAAATAAGCTGACTGAGGTAGATGTGCCACAGTAGGGCTTGCCTAGGCCATATACAGTGGTACCTTAGTTTATGAACTTAATCCATTCCGAAAGTCTGTTCTTAAACCAAAGCGTTCTTAAACCAAGGTGTGCTTTCCAATAGCAGCGAGGGACTCAATTTACAAATGGAACACACTCAACAGGAAGCAAAACACGTTCTTATTCCAAGGCAAAGTTCACAAACCAAAACACCTACTTCCAGGTTTGCAGCATTCTTACTCCAAGTTGTTCATAAACTAAACTGTTCTTAAACCAAGGTACCACTGTATCTTAATACTTGATGTATCTGCCCTAGAAAGATGGCCCTTCCACTGAACACTGTTCAAGTGAGAGATAGGGAAGGAGTATAACGAGGCACTGTAGACTTCAAGTGTAATTCCTTCACTTGGACTGGGGACTGGTGGTAATCTGAGAATTTTGATTTGATCTAGGCATTGTTGCCCATGGTGTACCGAGACACCTCTCTGTGCCACTATCATTTCTGATCAAGCAGGTTTTTGAAATAAACCTGTATCTCTCGTTTAAAAAATGTAGCAGTAGGCGTATGCGCAGGAGCCACAGTCAATCAGGATTCCTGAATTCGCAGAGAAGCCCAATGCCTGTATATTGGTATGAACAAAATACACCCTTCACACTACCCCAGGCTTGCAATCTAAGAGATGTAGCAAGTCAGTGAGTCAGAATCAGGGGGCAGGATCCCACATCCCCCATGCGTTTATTGACAGGATTGAGGAGGAATCCCTGACCTTCAGTGTTCTGAGGACAAAACGATTGCTATCTGGCTGTCTCTTGTGTGCCAATAAGCTCCATGGCACCACCTTTACAGAGATAACAAGGGGGAGGGTTGTAGCTCAGTAGTAGAGCATCTGCTTGGCATGCAGAAGGCCCCAGGATTTCAGTCCCCAGCATCTCCAGGTAGCATTGGGAGTGTCCCCTGCCTGAAACCCTGTAGAGCCACTTCCAAGGACATTTGATAGAGAGCACCCAGAACAAATTATGTGAGTACCATTGCCTTGCATTGGAAGGCAGGATTTCTGTGAAACATATGGTATGTCGGGCAGCAAGCTCCAATTATTATTATATTTTATCAGCATGAGGTGGTACCATTTGGATTTTCTTCCTCAGGCACCAAACCGCCCTCGGCCCATCCCTGCTAGGCAGCCCATCTTAAGTGCAAAGAGTGCTCTTCCATAATCTGTCCAACGCTGTGCCATAGACTTGCCCCTCAGAGGATTCAGGTTTAGGTCAGCAGAACGGTGGCATAAAAGCATTTCTGCCCTCCCCCTTGAGCTTTGTCAAGTGCAAAGCAGATACAATTTAGGACCGAGCCCTGGATTCAAAACATTCAACAGCTCCCTTTAAAAAAAAAAAAAGCTTTAATGCTTGGAAAATGAGATAAAGTCGCTGGAAAGGCCACATGCTGTTAACTTGGCATTTTATGGGGAGTGGGAAGTTTTAAAATTGTCACTTTTACTCCTTCATCCCACTCACCCTGTCACCCCTCACTCCCACACAGCTGCCTCTCTTCATTTCCCATAGCCGCAGGGAGCCTTTATTATCTGTGTCCCCCATTAACTTTCACTCTCTCCTGTTTAACATAATGGGCATAGGAATTGTTTGTTTTACATCTCGGTGATGAGGTTCCAGCTGTGCTCCTTTGAGTGCTGTTGCGCAGCTGTGAGATCATCAAAATGGACCTAAGTGGTCAAGGCTAGTCTTGCTTTGGACAATTGATATGAGCTATTCTCCTCATACAATATTGTCACTGTTGCATAAGTTGAGCTTATGGTAGCCATTGACACTTTAGAGAAGAATGGCCCATATACCGTATATTGTCCCAAACACTAAATAGGCATCAAGGCAAAAGCTTTGGAGCAAAATCCAGTTATGCACACTTGAAACCACCAAGAATTTAACGCATGGAACTGTGTGCAGGATTGCAGCTGTGTCATTTTTAACACTGAGATTTATGTGTTTAGATTTCTTCCATCATAACATTTTCCTTCACAAAGGTACTTTTCAAATTAATCCTCTGGTAGAATATGTGTGGAAAACATAGTCATCCATGTGGGGTTTCAATTCCCATGGAACATTTTCTGCTTATATTCCTCTGGATGAATAATTCAAAAAGTTTCCCAATGAAGTAAAACATTATGTCAGGGGGAACCAGCCATGTGTGCCATTGGTTGGACTGGAACAGTCAGTCATTCACAATCCAGACGGTGAATACTTATATCCACGGTGCTGTGTGACTCTGTGTTGAGTGTGTAACAAAGTACAAAGTTGGCACAACAGTTTATTATTCTTCAGTTCTACGACTGTGGGATTTGTTTGCTGTTTTAAATGCAGAGCAGAAGTAGATCTGTTAGTGATTGCCCTCATTTTGTCTGTGAGTCCTGGAAGACCTGCTCCCTGCCTTGCAGGCCTTACCTGGCCTGGGAGGGCGGGGCCCTGACTGACTCCAGCTACAGAAGCTGAGGCTGCTGAAGAGGCCAGAGACCACCTTGGCTGTCTCTTAGTGCAGACCCAGGTCATGAAGCCTGAGCTTCCACAGTTGTCCAGCCTGCCATGAACCATCATAGGCAGGACTAGCAGCCACAAGAGCATATAAGTTCTATGCTTATAATGATATTTTATTCTCTTGCTAATTATCCTGTTCTAAATGTACATTTTATATATGACTTCCTTTAGTAATGTTTCATTTTGAAATCATTGAGATAATATTGTAGTTTCCTGTTAATGATGTTGCTTTGAATGTATACTTTATATTTGACTTTCTTCAGTAATGTTTTATTCTGGATTGTTTTATTTGATGTTTTATTGTTGGTTGTGAAGAACTTTGAGATTTTTTTTCTTTAAAATATAAAGCGGTATAGAATTAAAATGATTAATAATAATTTGCTTACAAGGAAATGAAAGTTTAGAATAATCATGATTAAGACTATATTTTTACATGATATACCAGTTTAGAGGCATTTTATCTAATCAAAATGGGTTAGAACTGAGAACACCTGCAAGTGGTTTATGATCTCACTTCAATAAAATTGTACCAATATCATGAGGAGCGAATTTTTCACAAAAGGGAACCAAAACTGTGTGTATGTAAAGAAATGCCACAAATTCAGTTAGTGAAAAGATTTCTTCTTCTGATTTAGGATCTTATAAAGGTAAAGGGATCCCTGACCGTTAGGTCCAGTCGCGGACAACTCTGGGGTTGTGGCGCTCATCTCGCTTTCCTGGCCGAGGAAGCCAGCATACGGCTTCTGGGTCATGTGCAACCAAGCATCGCTGGATTCCAACATGGAGAGGAATGTATTTTACATGCTTTTCATGCATGTACCTATTTATCTACTTGCACTTTGACGTGCTTTCGAACTGCTAGGCTGGCAGGAGCTGGGACCGAGCAACGGGAGCTCACCCTGTTGCGGGAATTCAAACCGCCGACCTTCTGATTGGAAAACCCTAGGTTCTGTGGTTTAACCCATAGCACTACCCGTGTCCCTTAGGATCTTATACCAATGGGCTTTTCACCTCAGCTCTGTTCAGCCAAACTGAGCTGCCAACATCTCTTATGGAAAGGTCCAGAAGCATGCAGATCCATAGGTTCACATTGAGGGAGGGGGTGTCAGGGGTCCATATCTCAGCCTCCTCTGTGCTGGTCATCCCAGTGTAAAAGTTATTATGTATTTAATTATCCTTTCATTCTAAATGTCTATGAATTGAGTTCATAGCCAGCCACATATGTTATATCCTTGGGGGGGCGTTCTCCTTACCAGCCTTGATTTTGGTGTTCCTATGAAGAAGAAGGTGTCTAAGCACTCCATCATTGAAACAAACACGGATTTAGCATTCTGAGCTACCCTATATAGCACAATAGTAAACATGTCTACTTAGAACTACCGTAGGTCCCACTGAGTTCATTTAGTCCTTCTCACCACCACCAATGCTGACTGCTGATTGGTTGCTTTGTATTTCTGCTCAGTGGGTGGTAAGGACAAGAAACTCCAAGGAGCAGAATTAAATCTTCCTCTTGCTACTCAGGGTATGGTAGCTTGGCAACCACAGAACTATGGGCAGGTGCAGCGTTTTGCCCTTAAGTTTTCAACCTGGCTTTGCTACTAAATTGGCTGCCCAATAAGATAGTTTGACATCTTTAAAATACTATATTTAAATCTGTTGCTTTATGCCATTACAGTGGTGGTTTGATTTTTCTGAAATCATCGACCCTAGTTTAGCTGGATGTTTCCAATAGGATAAAATTATATTAGATTATTTTTTCCTTCTCGATCTTAAAAGTATATGTTTGGTCAAGCATTTGTGCACGTAAATGCTTCATTTCCTACACAGCAGTTTGAGGGGTGCTTTTGTTCATGCACAACACAACTTCTTTTTCTACCAAAGGTTTGAGAAAAGACTTTGGGGAGTTAACTGGTAGCCCTGGGCAGCTTTGAAGCATCGCAAGTGGAGATTGCTTTGTCCCTTAAAGATTTACTAGCCATGATCTTTTATTTGGTCATTTTATTAGCCTTCTTTTACATATCTATGGAGGGTAAGGAGAGAGGGGGCTCCCTGGCTGGTGCAACGCAGAGTCTATTTCCTCTGTGGCATTCACAGAACAAAAAATGTGAAGCCCTGGGCCTCAGCATCTCCCAAAATCTTGTGCAACATTGTAAGTGTGTGGTGTTGTATTTTTTTTCCAGACACTTGAGGCCTTCTCTCCTTGCTTCCTTTTTCTCTCCCCACCCCCACTATGCAAAGAGGTTGACACCAGGGTAACAAATTCTGCCGCGAGAATAGAGGGCTTGACATTGGCTGTAGTTTATGACTGCTCAGATAAATCTGTATTCGTCCCCGTCCCCCCAAAAGAAATAGGGACAGTTTTCACCAGCTTGGTAGGATCTGACAACTTTACTTGGACGTTCTTGTGAAGCCAAGCCCTGTTGCGTGGACAAATGGGATGAGTTAAAAAACAAAACATTTAAATGTTACCACTTTGGCTTCTCCTCAAGTGGTGCTGAGCACAGATGCTTGAAGGGGCCCTCATGTCCCACTAAGAATGGGGGTATTGTGTGGCTAACCTTACAAAGGGCAGAATAGCCCTGCTCTGCTGCCAGGCGCAGGATCATCCTATCTTTACATGTTGATTTATTAGGCCAGGGATGAATGAAAATGTAATTAATATTACTGGAGCATTAGAGTCTATTTAATTTAAATGCCACTGAATATTTCACTTTCAGTTGGGAGTGACAATGTGTTCGGGACTGTCGGTGAAAGCCTCAGCCATCTGTTACCCCGACGAAGACAGGAGAGACACAGGGAAACAGAGAGCATCCTCCTTTGTGGCTTTTCGGAAGGCTCCGGGATCATCATTTAACTCAAGGGCAGCCAAGAAGCATTCCTATGCATGGGACCCTGGGCGTTTAGGGAGAAAGCAAAAAGGGTTCAGGGGCAAGCAGTGTACAGAAATCTAGTGCCAAGAAAATAGAACAAGGATGGATCAGGAAGCAGGCCAAGTTACAGTTGGTCTAGTTTTTCGTTTTGTTTTTGAAGCAATAAAGGAATCAAAGCTTTTCTTCTTCTGGTTTTGTTTTTAATTAGTGACAAATCAGGCTAGTTCTGTTCCAGAGCAATAAATATTGACGGTGAGATTTTGACAGGCATTCAAATATTGGTTAGCGTGATGCTTTTGGATATGTTGTTTCAGAGCTCTGCAGCAGAATGACCCCACCCCAAACAAAACAAAGTGGGAAAGTGATGCAAAAGCTGGAATTCTTATTGTCAAAATACAGTGCCACCTGGTTGAATATCAAACCTGGGCCTATGCTGCAGATGAGGGGAAAGGGGTTTCGGGGGTGGGAAGTAAGGAATCCTCCTTCGGGAATGAGAAAGTCCAGCTTGCAATTTGGTCAAGGGA